TCAAGTTACTATGCTATGGTAGGTAGTCCAGGAAAGTCACAAATTGTTATATGGAATGTTATTCTAATATATTATTAACGCCAATTTAATTAAGCAAATTTTGAAACAGCTTTTATTACTTTTAAGGATTTTAAAATTAAATTTATTTTTACTCTAGGAAATGTTATAACACATATATATATATATATTAGAAACACTAAAAATTCTGTGATTCAAACTTTGTACTCGTATAATGTTTGCTGTATTAATATATTACATGGGCTGAAAAGTCCCGGGCATAACACATAGATGGCGCTACTTTTGTTATTTTCAAAACAATGGATCAAAAACAATTTCGTGTTTTAATTTTACACTGCTTCTTGATGGGAAAAAATACCGTTCCAGCGAAGCAATGGCTTGAAAAGTGTTATGGGGGCTTTGATAAACAAAAAAAAAACTTTGGTTTGCTGACTTCAAACGGGGTCGTATAGACACCGATGATGCAGAACGCAGTGGACCTCCAAATGAGGCGGTAACACCAGAAAACATAAAAAAATCCACAAAATCGTTTTGAATGATCGAAAAGTGAAGTTGCGTGAGTAAGCTGACATCGTAAAGATATCAAAAGAACGTGTTGGCTTTATATTGCATGAGCATTTGACTATGAGAAAGCTCTGTTCAAAGTGGGCGCCGCGTTTACTCACTGTTGACCAAAAACGAGAACGTGTTGATGATTCTGAGCAGTGTTTGGCCATGTTTAAACCTAACAAACAGGAATTTTTGCGTCGATATGTGACAATGGATGAAACATGGATCCATCACTTCACTCAGAGGAGAGGACAGCAACTGGTGAACCTCGTCCAAAGCGCCCGAAAGCACAACAATCGGCTGGAAAGGTTATGGCCTCGGTATTTTGGGATGTGCGTGGTGTAATATTCATCGACTATCTTGAGAAAGGAAATACCATTAACAGTGAATATTATATAGCGCTATTGGAGCGTTTGAATGCCGAAATTGCAAAGAAACGACCGCATATGGCAAAGAAAAAAATTTTGTTTCATCAAGACAACGCACCGTGTCACAAGCCAATCAAAACAATGGCAAAACTACATGAATTGAACTTCGAATTGCTCCCACATCCACCGTATTCGCCAAATTTGGCTCCCAGCGACTATTGGCTGTTCGCAGACCTGAAAAAAATGCTCGCTGGTTAGAAATTTCGCACGAATTAAGAGGTTATCGCTGAAACTGAAGCCTATTTTGAGGCAAATGATAAATCGTTCTACAAAAGTGGTATTGAAATGTTAGAGCGGCGCTGGAATGATTGCGTTGCTCTTGATGGAGATTACGTTGATGATTAAAGCTAATTTTGAACAAAAAAAAACTGTGATTTCTTTGTTAGGCCCGGGACTTTTCAGCCCATGTGTTATTATTATGAGACATATGAAAAAAAAAAATACCTACTATCGATTGCCAATATTATAATTTAGAATGGACTTGCTTAAGAATATGTGATTATTATCATAATGTTAAGTAATTACTGTAATTTTGATATCTAAATGTTAAAAAAAATGTCATTTCTATTTTAATTGCAATAAATGCACATATTGCACTGTAATATTTGCACTGAGCGGGACCACACTGCACCATGGTGGAGTTTGAGACAACAGTTTGTGTGATCCACTAATTGTTGTTCTGAGTCTGGGTGTTATTTGTATAACGCCGCATGGTCGGGGCATATTTGTCGGAGAGAGCCGTCGTCTACCCCAGTAGGACCGGTCTCGGTAGGCGTGAAATGTCGTGCGGTACACTCTTGTGGACACACACACTCTTGTGGAACATCGGCTACGACTGGGTGCTTCGTGGTGCCTTCTTGGATGGTGTAGCCGTCGTGTGCTACGCGGACGACATGCTCGTGACGGCGCGCGGCAAGACGCACTACGAGGCAACCCTGAGGGCTCCGGCCGGGGTTGCCCAAGTCGTTGAGCGAATCCGGCGGCTGGGTCTCGAGGTGCCTCTGCACAAGTCCGAGGCCCTGTTCTTCCACGGGCTTCGGAGGAAGCCGCCTGAGGGATCTAGCCTCACGGTAGGAGGCACTCGCATCGGCATCGAGCTCTTGATCAGGTATCTGGGGCTCGTACTCGATGGCCGATGGGACTTCGGATATCCTTTCCGAGGTCTGGTCCCCAAGTTGGTTGGGGCAGCGCGTGCATTGGCGCGGTTGCTGCCCAACATGAAGGGACCCGATGACTCCTGAAGGAGACTCTACTCGGAGGTTGTGCGGTCCATGGCCCTTTACGGGTGCCCAGTATGGGCGGGGGCCCTGAAGGCCAGCAACGTCGCGATACTGCGACGACCGCAGCGAGTCAGACCTGATGGCCAGATCAGGATCATAAGGGGGTACCGCACGATCTCCTTTGAGCGAGTCTCCTGGCCGGAACTGCATCGTGGGACCTGGAGGCGAGAGCCCTTGCGGCTCTGTATCAGTACCAGAGAGGTCATAGAGAGACCAGAGAGGTTTAGAACTCTCCCGGCAAAAAAAAAGGGGTGTTATTTGTATACGTTTCATGTATGTTCGTAAAGACCCCCGCGACATAGGATATATTCCTAGTGCGGAAGATGTCTTTATAAAAATAAGAATATATTGCTCACTATCGTAATATAATTAAATATAAATAGAGACAATTAAATTACATTACAATTAAGTATGCTTATACCATGTCGTTAACGGCCTTAAACAAAGGCTGATCGCTTACAATTAATCTTATGCCGACGGGTAGAATATACTAAATAATTTTGATTAAAAAAACTGACAACTCAATCCTCTCCAAACACGTTTTCGTGCAAGTAATAAGTACTCGTACGGTAAGTGCGTTGATCAGTGTTACAGGTGACATCAGGCTAGGCATGGAGACTAGAAATCTTAGAGTTCTTGCCTTACCAGACTTTAGTCATAGTTTTAGTAGTGTAGATTTCCGCATTTTGTTAAGCACTTTTTTTTTTGGAATTTAATGACCTGGTAACTAAGACCTTTAAGTCAAATTTGTTAAGCACATTACTGACATGACAGTACGATCTATTAACATATCTCCAACAGTAATTGATTGGTTTCCAAAACACCTGTTTGGTCACAAAGTGACAGGCCTCCTTTTTTTCTTTGTGTAAAATCTCGGTGGCATTTTATCTCCTTTACACCACATACACAGCCCTTAATAGTCCACTGCTGGACATAGGCCCCTCCTTAGAAAGGAGGTTTGGCCCTTCTATGCCACGCTTTACTATATTTATAAATTTTATCTCTAAATAATTAATCTTATCCAGCCATCTTTATGCATATGACTTTTAAATTTATACGCAAGTACCGTTACAGTTTTTCCACTATTAGTTTAGCGGGCGTACGTGAGTAAATGAAGCAATCCATATGGAGTTGTAGTGAATCCGTCTAAGATCAAACTTATTGATGTGGGCCGTCCCAGGAAGATATCAAGATCAAGATGGTATCAACAGTAATTTTTGGATCCCGCCCATTTCAGGTGCAGAGTGGCACTCCGTGTGGTTTTAGTCGATTCAATTCAGACACACGTACGGGTTTTCGCACGTAAAAGAAAGGGCTGGTATCAAGAATAGGTTGGACATAATTACCTAAGAGTAACTGTGTTAAAGATCTAAGCATTTATATTGATCATCATGCCTATCGCAGTTCACTGCTGGACATAAACCTCTCCCATTGCATGCCACTTAGATCCATTTTGGGCTTCTTTATGTAGCATTTATATTGATTGTACCTATTTCTGAAGTCCCCAATTGCAAGGCGACAGTCGAAAATTAATTACATGGGTAGGATTCCTGTGAAGACTACGCAACTGTCTACGAACAGCTACTGAAATTGCTCTTGCGCAATCCTTTTTTCTCATACTTGATTTTGCTGATGTTATCTCGATGTCACGGTCCTCCGTGTTTTGTTTTAAAGAGCTCAAGATAATCTTGAGCGCTTCAAAACATTTCTATTAAATTTCTATTTGAATTACGGAAATTTGATCATGTATTATCATTTCGCAAGATTATTAACCACCTTATTTGAAGGAACACTTTGCTTTCTTCAGTCGCATATATTCAAGATTCTTGAGGTCGTCTGAATCTCTGGAACTGCCAGTACGAATGCACTGTACCAGCCACCAGGTTCTACGATAGGTCGCTTACTGTGCAGGCTGTCCGACTATGGAATGCTTTGCCAATAGCTATAAAACGTGTCAAAACTTTGAATATAACTTTGAATATCTTTAAGTAAGTGATTAAAGAGTTTATTTGCATATAATTTAAACTACATTTGTTAGTACCTCGTCTATTCATAATCGATTTGTCCATCGAAAGATTACTGTAAGTAATAAAATTTATTGTATTAAACAAAAAAGTGAAGTTTATTCTTGTTTTGTGGATTGTATGAACATAGTACACAACCAGACTGGAAAAAGGATTAAAGAACTACAGTGTGACAATGGAACAGAATATCTCAACAGAAACTTTTATGAATTGGCCAGGGAACAGAGTATACATTTGAAACCGTGTCCACCGTACACACACGAACTTAATGGAGTCGCAGAGAGATACAACAGAACTGTAATGGACAGAGCAAGATGTTTACTTACTGAAGCAAACATAAGTAAAAGCTATTGGCCCGAATGTGTTAAGACAGCTGTCTTAACACATTCGGGCCAATAGCAGCATGCAGCTGCATACCTAGGAAACAGATTATTAACAAATACACTTATTAAGAAAACTCCATATGAAATATTCTTGGGAAGGAAACCGGATGTGTCATATCTGAAAATATTTGGAAGTGAAGCTTATGTAAGAGTACCAGAACAAAGAAGAACATCAAAGTTAAATCCGAAAGCATTTTAGTAGGTTACACGGATACAGGATACAGAGTGTTAGTGGAAAATAAGATAATAGTTACTCGTCATGTGAAATTTATTGAGAAAAGATCACAGTATGTTAAATTTAATAGTGAAGAAACAGAGATGGAGGATAATACTATAGAGGATATAGAAAATGAGAAGCCAAGTGATGGAAATGATGAACAGCAAAATGAGGAAATAAATGAAAGTGAAGAAAAAGAAGAAGATAAGAATATTAAGACGGTGACAAAGGACAGACCAAATAGAACAAGAAAATTACCTGAAAAATACAGAGATTGCAAAGTATATGCAAACTTTTGTAATGTGGATATACCTGAAAATTATGAAGAAGCTATACAGCATCCAGACTCAAAGAAGTGGAAAACGGCAATGGATGAAGAAATTAAAAGTTTAGAAGAAAATAATACTTGGAATATAGTAAAAGAGCCAATTGATAAGAAAATAATAGAAGTTAAATGGATTTATATAATTAAGTCAAACGGAAAGTATAAAGCTCGAGTTGTAGCGAAAGGTTTTCAACAAATATACAGTGAAAATGAAGAGATATACTCACCTGTAGCAAGAATGACAACATTGAAAGTATTGTTATCGGCAGCAGAAATGGTTGGGAAGTTGAACAAATGGATGTTGAAACTGCATTTTTGAATGGAAGCATAAAGTCAGAGGTGTATATTTATCCACCTGATGGTTATGAGATAGAAGAAGGGAAAGTTTATTTATTGAAAAAGTCATTATATGGTTTGCGAGAGAGTCCACGAGACTGATACGAGTGTTTTCATGATTTTATGGAAGAAATTAACTTTAAAAGATCTCACTAAGATTACTGTCTATATTTAGGATGTATAAAAGGCGAAGAAGTATATGTAATTCTATATGTTGATGATTGGCTCATTATGTGTTCTAATTGCACTTACATAAAGGAAGTTAAAAAAAAAATTAAGCAAGAAATTTAGAATGAAAGATCTAGGTAAAGTTAAACAGTACTTAGGAATTAACATAGTATACAAGAAGGAAGAAAGAAAGATGTATTTATAATAGGAAGAATATATTGAAAATTTAGCTGTGAAATATCAAGTTACTGATTCTAAGAAATATGAAGCACCAATGGAAATTAACTTAAAATTGAAACCATGTGAAAAGATAAATGAGAGTCTAAAACATCGAAATTTAATTGGAGCTTTATTATATGTTGCAAATGGTACACGTCCAGATGTTTCTTTTACAGTAAATTATATGAGTCGCTTTCAAAATGGTTATAGTGAAACTCATTTTAAATGTGCCTTACGCATCTTAAAATACTTATATCACACGAAGTCTCTTAATATGATAATAATAGTTCTGAAAACATTATGGAAGCCTTTGTTGATGCTGATTGGGCAGCAGACATTGCAGATAGAAAGTCTACCACAGGGATTGCAATTAAAGTAGTTGGAAATACAGTGTTTTAGAAATCACAAAAGCAGAAAATTATATCGAGAGCTTCAACTCATGCTGAATATTATGCCTTAGCTGATTGTGTTGAAGAAGTTTTACCTATAAAAGGAGTGTTAAGTGATATTGGTGTTATAATTAGTTCAATTAAAATTTATAAAGACAATTCTGGTGCCATAGCCTTATCAAAAAATTGTAAATTCTGTAAAAACTCAAAACATATTGATATAAGCTATCATTTTGTTCATGATCTTGAAAAGAAAGGTATAATTAATGTGTGCAAAATTCAAACTGAAGAACAAATTGCTGACATATTAACCAAATCATTGTGTAAAGTAAAGTTTCAAAAGTTTAGAAACATGTTAGGGGTAAAATAATAAAATAAGGGATAAACTTAGTTTTCAACTTGTAATTGTTTGTGCTAGCAGATGTTAATTGTAATAGCTATGATAGTATATTGTGTATGTTAGGATGTTAGTATATTATGTCAAGTACATTGTAAAAATATAATGATAAGAAAGTATAACAAAATCAAGGTGTGTTGAAATAGTGATTTTGTATTGTTTATGGTTCGTCTATGATTGTCTATGGAAGTGTCAGATGAGAACCCCAAATCCATAGCCCGAATCTTTCCTTTTGCTTTGTTAGCTAAATGAACTGCATGTCGATAAAATGTAAATGGTCTGAAATATTGAGATTTAACAATAAAGAGTGTGAAATATTAAGAAGAACCCTCAGTTTCACAAACAATCCACTCCTGTTATGACCCACTCATACTACCGCTTGTGTACACTGATTGTTCCTAATCCGATCTGTGCTCCTCTGGAACGCTCTACCTTTCGAAATCAGGATAGCACCCAGCCGCCTGTCATTTGAGACGAATTCATCACATCCGTAAAGTTTTATATATTATTTGTGTATATATTTGTATATACACACATACAAATATATACACAAAACAACTCAGCAAGTATATACCTACTTGCCGAGTTGTATATGTGTATATCAGTATGTGTATGTGCATCTGTCCTACTGTTTCTGTACATCTCCTCAATTATTATTATTATCTTTTTTAAACAACAAAAATCTTTATTTTTAGTACACCTACTCAGACATTTCCCCACAACCCAAGGGTGGACTGGGAGACAATGCCTGTGGCATTAAGACCGCCATTCTACAATCAACTTGTAATTTGTGTTCAAAGAATCAAATAAATTAAAAAATTACATTAAACTATAAAGTCAGACCATGTCCAGACCAGAAACATAAAAAACAACAAGGTGTTTAGAATGAAATGACATTACGAACTTTTCTATGTTACGCTCCATTTATTATATGCATTATCGTTGTAATAATAATAAATAAAAGTTAATAATAACTTTTTTTTTGCTTTTTGCTAAATATCGTCATACTCTTCCAAGTTTAAGTTTGAGACCAGAAATCTTTATTTTACATGATACACATGTAAAATAAAGATTTCTGGACGTCTACAGAGACAGTCACTGTCAACTGTCAAATATAGAAGCTGTAAAAAATAGAAATCCCGAAAAATAGAAAAACGAAACCCGATAATATTACTGTACGTTAGTGTTTTCATATGCTTTTGTTATATTTTGTAACGCCCTGATGTTTTCTGTAGCGACGTTGGTGCAATTGACGAAGATGACGATGGCTACTACTGAAAAGGATCCATTGGTCAGTGAAAGATCAGGCAAAGTTCGCGAAGTGGGCAATCATGCTATATGGAGTTTATCTTCGTGTAAACCAGGTTTGTGTAAAAATAAAAATATGTTATATGAATAGTAGTAGTTTTATATGCTAATATTTGTCTCTCTTTAGGTTTTGGTATCGATCAGTTAAGAGATGATTGTATGGATACATATTGGCAATCCGACGGTCAGCTTCCGCACTTAGTAAATATTCAATTTCAAAGAAAAACAATGGTTTCTCATATCTACATATATACTGATTATAAACTAGACGAAAGTTATACACCCAGCCGAATATCAATAAGAGCAGGAACTCATTTTAATGATTTGCAAGAAATTGAAGTTATTGAATTGATTGAGCCCAGTGGTAAGTTATTTGTTGGTCATTATTTTTGTGAAAAATTATCAGAAGTAAATTTACGTAACAATGTTAGTATACTCTATCCTGTTTTTAATTTTAAATGTTTGTATTTTATCACAATCCAACTGTAACTAGGCTAGTTAGCAAATTTGCTAAATAAAGTAACTTTGGCATACATTGCGTTAAATTTTGTGTTTCTTACATTTGTGACTGTAATCAGTAATTTTTATCTTTAGTATAATTTTTTCATTATGCTTAAGTTTATGGAATAAGTGGTACCCAGGATCGAGTATTGAAAGTTCCTAAATTTGTGCATCTTTTACTAAGCTTACATTACATACGCACCCCAAGCCGGCTGGTCACCGTGGGGGAAGAAGACCGTTACCCTCCAAAATATTTACCCCAGAAACAAACACACAAGTGTTCCAGACAACAAATCGCCAACAAAACAACATATTACATATTGCTACCTTTAATACGCTTACCCTAAAAAGCACAGAAAGCTTGTCAGAGTTGATTATGGCATTGGAAAGAATAAATTGGTCAATAATTGGATTAAGCGAAGTTCGACGCCTAGGCGAGAGCATAGAAGATCATGGAGACTTTATTTTCTACTACAAAGGAGATACACCTGGAAAATTGGGAACAGGATTCTTGGTCAAAAAAGAATTGAGCACACACATCGATGAATTTATTGGCATATCTGAACGTATTGTCATACTTAACCTGAAACTACCCAAAAAGGAAATGTGGTTGATTATACAAATTTACTCACCAACTGAGCAATCCAGTAATGCAGAAATTGACACTTTCTATGCTATGTTAACAAGCGCAATCAAAGAACATACCTACAATAACCTAATAGTGATGGGTGATTTTAATGCAAGAACGGGATGTAGAGAAGACGGAGAAGCGATGATATTGGGTCCATACTGTTCAGGAAAAAGAACAAGAAATGGCGAAAAACTAATACAAATGGCATACGAGAAGAACTTAAAAATACTTAATAGTATGTACAAAAGGCGGGACAACAACAGATGGACATGGATATCCCCAGACGGGCGTTACAAAAATGAAATAGACTACATCCTCACCAACAAAAGCAAGCTTTTTCAGGATTGCGGAGTTGTTAACAATCTCAACTTCAACAGCAATCACAGAATGGTTAGAGCCAAATTACTATACACCGATTCTACAAAGAAAAATAGACCATTTAGGGTAAAAACAACCAAAACTATAATACCTGAAGCCACTAACAAATTAGAAAAGGAACTAATAAACTTTATAGAAAATACAAAAGAACTAAATATCCAACACAAATATAACAAGTTTGAAGAGCTAATGAAAACAAAGAAAACAACGGGAACAGCAAAGGAAAAGAAAACAGTAAAATGGCTAACAGACGAAACGAAAGAAATGTTAAAAACCAGAGATGAACTAATATCTACGACTGCAAAGACAAGGATAACTAGAACTAAAATAAGGGAAATAAGCAAAAGTATAAAATTAAACATGAGAAAGGACCGGCAAAGATACAGACTTGAAATACTGGAAAGATGTATTCAGAAAACTGGAGGCACCAAAAGAGCAATCAAACAACTAAGAGAAGAAACAGACTGGATACCTAATCTCTATGACAAAAATATGAAACATAAAACAAGACGCCCAGAAATTATGTCGATAGCCACTAACTTTTTTAGGGAATTATACTCTAAGAAAAACTACAATAAGCCGAACATATTAGCAGGGGGAGAAGAAGTACCAGACATAATAAATGCAGAGGTGGAAAAAGCTATTATGTCTCAAAAGAAAGACAAAGCTCCCGGGTCAGATGGTATCAGTAACGAATTTCTCATAGCAAACATAGAATACCTTGTACCAACCCTTACGGACATTTTCAACGAAGTTTTGCACAGTGAGACTATACCCGAGCAATGGTCAACATCAACCATAACACTACTACATAAGAAAGGAGACAAAAACAACATAAACAACTACAGACCTATTAGTCTAATGTCGAATATCTACAAGGTATTCGCTAAGATAATTCTCAATAGAGTAACCAGAACATTAGATGACAACCAAACGAGAGAGCAGGCCGGATTCAGGAGTGGGTACTCGACATTGGACCACATCCACGTAGTAAAACAATTATTTGAAAAGGGCAGAGAATTCAACTTAACATTTTACTGCTGCTTTGTAGATTACAGCAAAGCCTTTGATTCATTAGAACACGAAGCGATTTGGCAAGCACTCAAAAACCAAGGTGAGGAATGTAAATACATTAGAATTCTGAAACACATTTATGAAAACAGCAAAGCCAACATCAAGCTAGAAAAGCAAGGTAAGGAAATAAGAATAGAAAGAGGTGTGCGTCAGGGCGACCCAGTATCACCTAAACTGTTCACTGCTGTCCTGGAAGAGGTGTTCCGGCAATTAGATTAGGAGAAATGTGGACTGAATATTAATGGCGAATACCTGTCGCATTTGCGATTTGCAGATGATTTGATCATCATCTCTCAATCGTTACTCTCTCAGGGTTACGGGCTATGCTGAATGATCTGGAAAGAGAAAGTCGTAAAGTGGGATTAATCATGAATCTAGAAAAAACCAAGGCCATGACAAACTGGAACCAAGAACCAATCCACGTGAACAACAACACAATTGATTATGTAGATGAATACATCTATCTCGGTCAAACAATTTCGCAAATGGACCCTACCTCTAAGGAAATCAACAGGCGTATAGGTAATGCGTGGAAACAATACTGGAGTTTAAAAGAAGTTATGAAAAACCCTAAAATGAGCATGACTGTGAAACGTAAACTTTTCGATACTTGCGTAGGCAGTACGCAAGTATCGAAAAGTCCTTACATATGGCTGCCAAACCTGGGCGCTAAACAAAACTCATATCCATAAACTTGAAACATGCCAAAACTCAATGGAAAGAAGCATGATGGGGAAGAGACTTTCTGATAGAGTAAGAACCACCGTCATCAAGAATTGTACAAGAACAAAAGATGTCACAGTAACTATCAGAAAGCTGAAATGGAGATGGACAGGACACACAATCAGAGGAAAAGAGAAATGGTCTAAATTAATAATGAACTGGTTCACAAGGCATATTAAGCGAAAACAAGGAAGGCCACCAAGAAGATGGGTGGATGAAATAAAGGTCATAGCTGGAGGTGGATGGACAACAGTTGCTAGAGATAGAGGAAAATGGAAACAGTTGGAGGAGGCCTTTGCCCATAAAGGCACACAGACAGGTGTCAAATAGAATAATGTTTTTAATAAATCTATTTGTAAACGTTTTGTATAAGATGTCTGAATAAAGGCTATTATTATTATTATTATTACATTACATAAGTCTATTCTTACCTACCTCACCTTTACTCTAGTCAATGAGTGTAATAGAATACTACTAATTAACCTCATTATGCCAAGTTATAAAGTGATACAAGTATTTGAAATATAAATACAAGATAAATACACATTTTGTATCTTGTTCCTGAAATACTTGTTTGATCTTCGTTTTCTGTCTTTTATAAAAATACATTATTTTGGTATCATAGTATTTTGTAAATAATGTGTTTGGTCAAGTGTTTTTAGTGTCTTATTATGCTTTTTTAAGTGTTTTATTATGCTTTAATATTATACAGCCTAAGTCAATTCCCACTCAGGACAAATATTGTGTGATGAGTACAGTAATTTGTTCTGTGTCTGGGTCAGTCAGGTTACCATTGCACAGGCTTTGCATAGTTTGGGATCAGACAGCCATGTGTGAGATATATTATTATTTAACTTTAATAAAGGACAATGGCAGGCATGTATGGGACTTTTATACCGCATTGCATATCTCTCGGTAGAGATTATTGTTGTATTTAATTGGCTGTTAATATCATCATCAGTTGTAATTACCAGATTTTTAGAACTTAGATGAAGATGTTTTAATATGTTTGTTCTTTTCTATTTTACAGGATGGGAAATGATACCAATCAAAGACATTCATGACAGACCTATAAGGACCTACATGATACAAATAGCTGTCTTGAGCAATCATCAAAATGGAAGGGATACACATATGCGCCAAATTAAAATACACTCGCCGTGTGAGCCAACATCATTTGATATTAATAAATTCCGGAATTTCTCTACTGTACAGTTCCAACAATATGCTACAATACGTTAAGAATGTAATATTTGTCAGACATCATTTGATATTAATAAATTCCGGAATATCTCTACTGTACAGTTCCAACAATATGGTACGATACGTTAAGAATGTAATATTTGTCATTTAATGTCATAAATAAAACAAATAATTAAATTACCAAATTTAAAATATTCTGTTTTTACATAAATCAATCAGATTCATCACTCTCTTCACTAGCTTCTTCAAGCCACTGAAAGAATTTGACAAGAGATTTTTGATTTACAATAAGACTATTATTTTCTTGCAAATCTTTATACCACGCTAGTAAGGCATCCTCATCAACCACATCTGCATCATAAAGTAATTTGAGTATAAGACCAGACTGACCCTCAAGCCATTCACATTTGATACAGCTGTCCTGGAAGAAAAGCAAATGATTGATCATTAGACTATGTCACTGTGAGCAACACATTAAACCAATTTATCTTAAGCTGTTTAAATACTTACTTCAACAGCTCTCAAACAGTCCATTATAGAAGACTTAGTTTTAATGTAGTTAGCTAAAACAGGTCTAAAGTATTGCAAAATATTCCTCACAGTACTGAGCACATTCTTACTTTCAGATAGAACAGGTATGCTCAAAAGTGCTCTCACAACAAAAAAGTTTACTTCATGCAGTTGGATATTGTAAGCATATCTAGATGAGTTTATTTCCAATATTAAATAATCACATTTCAATTTCTCTTCATACCCTCTTGCTAAACTGTCAATAACTTCTTGCAAGAATACTGTAAATAAAAATAGGCAAATCATTTAACATCATGAACAGTGTTCTTATTGTGGTACGTAAACATTTAAAAAAGTACATTCAATATAGGAATTATTGTATTGTTAGAAAGACAACCCTGGCATGAGGAATTTAATATATTCCTGTGTCGGGGGACTTTCCAAACATACATAAAACGGACACAAAGAACACACAGACTCAGAACAAGGAATTTGTAAATCACACGAAGTGTTGTTCCATTCGGGCATCAAACCCACTCAGCACAGTAGGAAGCGGCAAGGTAACCGCTAAAGCCACTACGCCATCCTTGCAGTCCGGAATAGAATAATCGAAAAAAATAATTAAGTGTTGTTAATTTACCTATTAGGTTTTTTTAACTAAATTACATTGAAAATTACATGAAAACCACCATAGGTTAGGTGTAGCAAGACAATAATGTACTACGCGTGGACCCGAATACTTTCTCTCTCGCACACCGATCAACGCGTGTTGTATCTATTCTATTCAACGCGCATCACCTACGACAACGTGGAAGTGGGAGCACAGGGCCGCCTATATAAACCGGCACGCAGCCTCCAGTCTGGCAGGATTAGCCCGGACGTCGACGAAGCAACACCTTCGCAGCTCCCGAAGACTCACGAAACCCGAAGAAGTTGCCCGAGGCGTTGTTCTCTGCACGGAACGCTGTTTCTTTGCTTCCCGGCCCCAGGCCGAGTGTTCGCAGGAGACGTGCGCCTACATATGCAGTGGCAAACAAACACAACAGTGCTGATATAATTGTGGGTCGACCACAGCCCAACTCAGTTGGTTTTCAGCGGTGAATCTGTTGTGTTTGTTTGCACCTGTAGCTCCTCTGCGCCGCCCGGCTTTGGTCGAGCGACAACCGCAACAAACCCGCCCAACGACAACGTAGCCCCGAAGAGGACGAGGACTACAAGCGTCCCTGCCTCACCCCCCGTAAGATCCCCGCTGTACTCGCAGCGCGACTCGCGGGTGGTAAGAAGGCAGCAACAGGAGGACGAAAGCACAGGTCGCGAGGTCCCCGCCCCCTCTTCGCCGCCTCCACTGCCGGTACCGCAACGACTGCGACTGCCGCGCCGCCCCAGGCGTCTAAGCGCCGCTATCCGCCGCTGATAGTGGAGCACCTCCCCAATTGGGTCACTCACATGAGGGAGCTCAAGCGAATCCTAGGCAGGGCGGCAAACGCCCGCCCGAGTACCGGCTCGTCCAGCGCTACCTCACGACGCTGGAGAAGAACGAGGGTATCTCCTGGTTCTCCTACTCCCCGGAGGAGCGGAGCTTAAAGGTGGCCATTCGCGCCTGCCTAGCAACGCGACGCCGGAAGAGGTAGAGCAGGAGCTTAGAGACCTGGGCTTCGACCCCCGAGTATGTGCGTAACATACGGGGTCGTGGCGACCGTACCGGGTGCATTCTCCTCGCCATTTTGAAGAGGACACCAAATCTGAAACCGGGGAAATACGACACATCCCCGGTGTGAAAATAGAAGCCTGGCGCGGGAAAAAGAGGCCCGCGCAATGCCACCGCTGCCAGCAGTTTAGGCACTTCAGCCACCACTACCACCGCAGACAAGCGTGTGTGCGATGGCAGTGGGCTGACCCCGCTGCGAGCTGCCCCAGGCCTCTACAGGAGCCCGCTACGTGTGCCAACTGCGGAGGAGAGCACCCGTCTAACAACACTCACTGCCCCGTCTTCCAACGCGAACAGCGTAACAGGAAGGCGGGAACGGTCGTCGTCACCGGTGCGGTCGCGCAAAGGGCCGACTCGGGTGAACCCACAACCCACCGGGGAGTATGCGCGAGGGGTGTCGCTTATGGCGGAAGCGAACCCCGCACCTCCCCGCGGAACATCCACCTCTTCTAAGAGAGGGCGTAAGAAGAGGACCGCAAACCCCGCTGCAGACACCCAGGCTGACTGCGTCGCGGAGGGGCCGTCCGCCGGTCAGCCCGCGATCACCCTAGCTACTACCGATGTCACCACCTCTCGAAAGAGGGAGGCAGGGAGGACAAAGATGAACGCCTGCGAGAGCACCCATAGGCGAACAATCGCCTTAACAGCAGAGGAGGATAACAGCACAAAAGCTGTTATTCTTTTCACACTTCAGCTGGTACAGGATCTGTTGGCCGCCATGAGTCAAGAGCTGACAAAGAATGACATCGCTCTCATCATCGCCAGGGGCGTAGCTGCCCTGATGGCCTGGGCAGCGTAGACGAAGTGATCCGCCAACTTTTTTAAAGAGTACCCTCACTGACGGTCAAAGGCAAAAAAAAACTCTCACTGAAAAATTTTAAACCTACCCACATTGATACAATTAATAAAAATAACGCATTGTTTCAGTTCCTGTTGCTGCGAATACCCTGCGACCCGCGAGCAACAGGTGCTGGCACAGGCCTACTTGGCCCAAGCAGGCGCACCGTGTGCGGGCGCCGGTGACCGCCGCAGCAGAAACTGAACAACAAAACAGGGTGCCCCGCAGACCGCGTAGCGGTGCGGACCGCCCTAAATACCCCGGATTAGACGAAGGGGTTGCAAGTAAGTCGCCGCCTCCGTCGCTGGTCGCTCGGAGCTGGGCCTCCCTAGATATCGCCTGGGGTCTCATCTGGCTCGGGCTTGACCGCCGAGGCGGCGTGAAGACCACGTCAGGGGGCTACAGCCCCGATCCAGCCACCACGCGTCCCCTGCGGGACGGTGTGAAGACCAGCGAGAGCAGTCTGGCAGTCGATAGCTGGACCACTCAGTGCGATAGCCCCGCAGTCCACTCTGGTGTCCAGTAGCTGACCTGATCGATAGCCCCGCAGTCATCAGGTTCTGCTAAGGTCTTCAAGAGCGATAGCCCCGCAGTCCTCTTAAGACACTCACGTAGCGTACGAAGGTAGTGCTGAGCGATAGCCCCGCAGTCCTCTTCGCTGCTCTCATAGGGTTTCATGTATAAGTACAAGTTTGCTAATATATGTATAAGCTAGACAGAAACCAGAATAAACGGTAACCGCTACCAAAGACGTCTATGATTTCTGCACTGGTAACCCTATCACCCTACAGGACTAGTTTTCTCAAAAGACCTTAACAAAAAATTATCACGAGAGCTAGGCTAACAGTCCCATATTTCAATGTAAATACACACCTAGCAATAACCTACCTAAGGTCAATGGTATTGGTTGTGAGCTTCGGTTTCCGCATTTAGACTCAAGAGTGGTCCTTTATGCGTCGAGGACTGGTTAGCTAGGTGAGCCAACCAAGCTCCTTCCAGAAGCACAGAAGCCTCCTGGGGCTTTCACAGGCTTCTAGGAGCGGTTTTGTATCGGGAATGATACTTGTCCGTTGTGTGGCCACTCCCTCGCATTCCAGGACTACGTGGGCGGCCGTTTCTTCTGCTTCCAGACATCCCCTGCACAGAGGGCTGTCCATCGCATTGATGATGAATAGGTGTCGGTTCAGGGCTAGGTGTCCTGTTATAGTTCCGACAACTATTCGGATTTCCAGTCTGCTAAGACTAATCAATCTGCAGGTGAGTCGTGTTGTGACTTTAGTCAGCAGCAGTTTGGACTGTCTGCAGCCGGGTGAGTTTTTCCACCTCCGGTTGTATGCTTCACGGGTCCGTTGCCTGGCCCAAAATCGTGTTTGGTTAAACGGTATTGGCAGGAGTATGGTTGGGCCGGTAGCTGGGGTTGCCGAGCCCCTCCTTGCCAACTCATCTGCGGCATCGTTCCCGTGTGAGTTACTGTGCCCTTTAATCCATTGGAGGAGTACCACATTTAATGTGGCAAGCTGCTCCAATGCTAGATGGTATTCGGAGACTATACCAGAGGTCATTGTGTTGCCCTCTAGTGCCTTTAGGACGGCCATGCTGTCGGCCGTTGACATGGCCGTTGTGGCGGCGTAAGTTATTGCCACACATTCGCATTGGAATATGGAACTGTGTTGGCCTAACGCTAGTGATATGTTCATATTTAGGTCTTGCGAGAAAACTCCGGTTCCGCATCCTGACCTAGTCTTGGAAGCCACTAAGGTCATGTCCAAAGGTGTCCAATGGATCAAAAGGGGGTAGCAATTTACACAGGAATGACGCCGCTAATGATCAGGGATGGAAGAAATCTATCCATCACGGGCAATATTGCCCTTAAGCGGCACCTATTCATTATGGAACAGAGCGCGCGAAACTGGCACCCACGCTCTCCTGGAATAAGTGAGAGGGGCCACACAAAACACAAACTCCAGAAACATACTATTAGCACTTTTACCAATAGACTTCATGTTTACAGTGAATGTATTGTTAGTTCTCATATTAACCATCCTGAAATGTAAGTAATAAACATTTACTGCTCCCCTAGCTTCTGTTATGATTTATGCATTTTATAAAAGGTGATTTACATGTAATTAAAAACAAACAAATCTAGTATCTTTCACTACAAGACCAGTGCACAGTTGAATTATTCCTGTTTACTTTAATATACATAAAAAACAACTTACTATTAGTATCATCAGGTACAGGAGAATCAAGTATTGAAGTCTCAGCACTGCTGTCTGATGAGTAGCAAGAGTCACTATCATTCCAATTCTTCTCAAACCCAATAAAGTCGTCACCGCCACTTCCAGAAGACTCATTGTCCCACTCTGTACTTTCTGAGGTTGATTTAAAGAGTAATTTTTCTAAACAAATAATGTGTTATTATTAATAAACACTGTAAACTAGTATTCCAAAGTGAACTAATATTCCAAAATTATTTAGACTCATAGACCAAATATATCATAACATAGTATGTTATGTTAAACATACCAGATATATCTAATCAATCTCTGTAGCCTAAACGGCTTGTTAGATTTGACGTTTGAGGTGTCGTTAGATTCGTCTTAATAGTGAGTGTGTGCAGTAGGGTTTTTTGTTTATTTTTAATAATTACCTTGTTTTGTCACAATTCCTTTCTTAAATGTAACAACTTTCGTGACTGATATTTAGTGTAAAGTAATAAAGATAAATATATGATGTGAGGATGACGGAAACGTAAGGTAAAGCGCGCTTGATAAAGATCCCCGATCGAATAAATTATTAGAGAATAGCAGAAATACACACATGAGTAAAACTGTCTTTAGTAAAACGTCAACAATACCTACTTTACGAGTACTGTACTTTTAAAAAACGAGTGTGCTTTAGACCACACCACTGAAGTAAAACTTCTTTAAAGAAATGAGAGAAAAAGAAAATGTGTGCCTCTCTCTCTTGCCCCTACAGTAATATACGAAACTTAACTCTCTCTCTTTCTATCTAAGAACTTATATCTCCCTATCAACTTCCGTTCGCCTCACCCGATCACACTTTTCGTAACGCCCTCGTCACGCATTTACGCGTCTTGACGCTTGAGTAAAGAAGTAAAGAAGAAGTTGAAGTAAAGAAGTTTTACTTCAAAAAAGGAAAAAAACAATACCTTGATCTTTTTCGGTACTCTCTAGGATATTTCCTTTAAGCTGACTTCCAGTCTCGACTTTGACATTCGAAGCAATAATAGTACCAGAATCAATAGTACAATCATTTTCTATATCACAATTGTCATCAATAAAACTATTTATAATCTTACAGTTGTCCTTAATTACTACATTATTCATAATATGACTTCCTGTGATGGTTACATTGTTGCCTATGATACAATTCTTTCCAATCACGGACTTTGATATCACTGTGTTATCATTTACATGAGTTTTTGCACCAACCAATACATCTTCCAATAATGCACTTGATCTGAAAATGAGCATACTTAAATAAGAAAATTATATCTCCCAACCCAAAATATCCCTTCAACCATTAGAAAAGTGTTTAAAGGGCTGAACAAATTTTCTTAAATAGTATCTAAAAACATTTCGAATCATGTTACAACAACAAAGAACTAAATCAAAATTGTTTATTTGTTTAGGAGCTATATATATTATGATGGTTGGCATGGATGGCAGATGGACATGCATTAAACTTATCACACCTACTTTAAAAAATGTTGGATAGACCAAATATATCTATGCAAGTCAAACATCCTAAAATATGAGTACATAAGAATATGACATAAATATCTAGTCATATCTTCCATTAATCATAGCTTCCTTGAAAGTGTATCTGATCTGGGGACTTAGTGTGAGTTTTTTTCACATCAACTCGCGTCGAGAGCGAGCGCGTTCGGAGTTGGGATTGGAGAAGATTTCAACACATGACTATTTTAAAATTCTGTGAAAAAGAACTTCAATCTATAATTAAAATATAAAGCAAAATTCTTACCTGCTTAGAGTGCAAGATTTTTCTCTGAAATTGTGGTTGCCCATGAAAAGGAAATTGTTTTGGCTAAAAGATCCACTCTCAATAGTTAATGGGTAGGCCCAATTGTGTAACACATCACGACTAAAAAAAATAAAAAAATCGATTTATACAACTTGAATTCATGTAATTGTTTTAAACTTAAGTAAACATCAAAGTAACTATATACCTCGATAACAGCCTAGCATAATTAGCACATGGAAAGACAATAATCTATTAGTTTAAAAAAAACATCTTATTTTCTCATAAAACTTACTCATGCCTAAAGTTATGCAATGCTAATATAGTTTTTAATGACTTCCCTGTGCAAACATATATGTTCAATCCCTTTAATTTATTCATACTAAAAGACAAATTAAACCACTGTAAAACTCACCAAACAGTTTGATATGTTTTCCAATTTGTAACAGCAGCCGCATATTGACTTCCTTTCAACAATATGTAGTATAAGGAACTAGCAAGTATTTCTTCATTGATTAAAATGCCATGTATGAAGTCATCTCTTGTTTGAAAATCAAAATTGTCAGAAAAAAGAGGAGGTACCGATGGGGAACATAATGCAATGTTTGCATCAGCCAAGTTATGGTGTAATTTTACTTCAGAATGACTCAACACCACTTCCTGGAAAACATGACAATGTTAGTTTTTAAAGTGGAGTGGGACATTAGAATTTTTCTTCTTCTCAGCCTATGCTTGTCCACTGCTGGACATAGGCCTCTCCCAATGATTTCCAGCGGGGACGGTTGATTGCGGCCTGCATCCAACGGTGTCCGGCAACCTTTACCAGGTCGTCCGTCCATCGGGTAAGCGGTCGTCCCACACTGCGCTTTCCAGTACGTGGTCTCCATTGGAGAACCTTGCTGCCCCATCGGCTGTCAGTTCTCCTTGCTATGTGCCCTGCCCATTGCCACTTGAGCGCGCTAATCCGTTGGGTTTGTCAACCACCTTTGTTCTCCTGCGGATCTCCTCGTTGCGGATTCGATCACGCAGGGAAACGCCAAGCATAGCCCTTTCCATAGCACGCTGAGCGACTCTGAGCTTTCTGATTAGGCCCATAGTAAGAGACCACGTCTCAGTTCCGTAGGTCATCACTGGTAACACACACTGGTTGAAGCATTTCGTCTTTAGGCACTGAGGTATTTTGGACGTGAAGACGTTTCGTAATTTCCCGAACGCTGCCCAGCCGAGTCGGATTCGACGATTGACCTCTTTCTCGAAGTTGGACTTACCTAATTGAACCGTTTGTCCTAGGTAGACATATTCGTCAACAACTTCGAGGACAGAGTTTCCCACGACTATGGGAGTCGGCGCGACATGGACATTCGACATAATTTCCGTCTTGTCCATGTTCATTTTAAGGCCGATCTGTTGAGAAACTCCGTCAAGGTCAGCGAGCATTTGTCCCAGGTCTTCCAGCGATTCTGCCATGACTACGATGTCGTCGGCAAATCGAAGGTGAGTGATGTATTCGCCATTGATGTTGATGCCAAGTTCTTTCCATTCCAGGAGCTTGAAGGCATCTTCCAGAGCAGCGGTAAACAGTTTCGGAGAAATAACGTCTCCCTGTCTTACCCCTCTCTGTAATGGAATTGCCTTCGTGTACTGGTCCTGTACTCGAACTGACATATTGGCGTTATTATACAAACACTTCAATACCTCGATGTACCGATAGTCAATACGGCTCCGCTGGAGAGACCTAAAGACTGCCCAAGTTTCGATCGAATCGAAGGCTTTCTCATTGTCCACAAACGCCAAGCATAGTGGCCGATTATACTCCTCGGTCTTCTGTATAATCTGCCGCAGCGTATGTATGTGGTCTATGGTACTAAAGCCTTTTCGGAAACCGGCTTGTTCGGGAGGCTGGAAGTCATCAAACCGACATTGGAGACGATTCATGATGACACTTGAAAACAGCTTGTAGACATGGCTCAGCAGTGTGATGGGCCTGTAGTTCTTCAATAAGGTATTATCGCCCTTCTTGAAGAAAAGTACCACCACACCCCTGCTCCATGACTCTGGCGTGTGTCCCTCGAGCAAGACGGAATTGAAGAGCTTCTGGAGGACCTTGAGTACCGGTTTGCCACCCGCTCTCAGAAGCTCAGATGTGATTCCGTCATCGCCCGGTGCCTTGTTTTTCTTAAGCTGTTTCAGAGCCATCCCAATCTCGTACTGGCTGATGTCCGGGATATCTTCGGTATAATGTCGGGTTAGCCTTGCTCTAGGGTCATTAGCTGGGCTACTAGCAGGCTTTGCGGTTGAGGTATACAAGTGTCGATAGAACCTCTCTATCTCCGTAAGTACCTCTTGCCTACTCGACGTTACACTCCCCTCTTCTGTCTTCAGCTTCGTCAACTGGCTTTTCCCAATAGACGCCTCTCTTGCGAACACTTTTAGAGCCTTTAGAATTTTTGGGGATGCCAAAAAGTTTAGTGTTAAATAAAGACTATCAATTCAACACTAACCTGTAAAAATCAGTTTTTTTAATCCACACAGAGAATATAGAATGTGTCGAGTTGATCTCATGGATTGTAGGATTCACAGTTCATAAAAAACCAATTGGCAAACAGGTTTCAAAACTGATAACATGCTGCATACCAACAATCATCATCATCATCAACAGCCTTTACTAGTCCACTGCTGGACATAGGCCTCTCCTTAGAAAGGAGGTTTTGGCCTACTACACCACCCTAGGCAGACGGGTCGGTTTAGGGTTTGTGTCAAGTTTTTCCTCTCTCTGCAGAGCTGTTGTCTTGCGTAGTTTGCTCCCTTAGCCACCTTTTTACGACACCCACAGTATGAATAGGGGTGGCGACACTATGTATTCTTAATCCATCACCACACGGATTTACTACCAACAATATTAAGCCATATTTATACAATATTGCATGTTCCAGTGGAAAGGACTAACATTAACAGAAAAGGTTTTAATGCATACTAACTTTTTTTAACTAGTATAACCAAAACAAAATAATAAATTTCATACCAAAGGTAAATTAATTTTTTTCTCTGTTGACTTAGGTTTATACTTCTGATGAATTAAAACTTTGTTAGAACTTGCATCTGCTGCTAAAAATATGGGTTTATCCGAGCTTATCAAAGGATGTTCCCAGGCCACTTTCTTGTACACCAATGTCATTGCTGCACCTTTATCTTTTTTGCATGTTTGTCTAGAAAAATAAAATTCGTTTTATCACAATAATGTTCTGTGGGTTGTTGCTGAGAAACTCAACATGGTGCTTCTTGAGCAACTAAAGTGGCAATTAAACCTTTTATAGTCTGCCAAAAAAAGAATCCTTACAGGATCACTTCATTATCTACCTATCTGTCTGTTAAGAACTTTTGTCAGAAATATGTAGATGTATTACATTAAAATTAAAATAAATACTTATTTCTGCAATTCCTTGAAGCTGTAAAAAATTAAGCCTATATATTTTTAACCACTTTTAACACTTAACAGGTACATGGAATATATAGGGTACTTCCTATTAACCTGGAATATTAGCAGCAGCAAAAAAAATGAAAATCCATTAGTGGGTAAATTTTATTTATAAAATGTAAAAAAATGTGATCACAACTTTATACATCTTGCATTGGAAAATTATTAAATTTATATACATATGGGGTGTATTTTTAGAAGCTCAAAGACACCCTCTGCCTACATCTTTGCAGCTACAGGTTTAAGCATATGCTTCTTGAAAGGTGCCATTGATAAAGTGCCAAGTATAAAGTGAAGGGGATAAAAGTTTTGATATCTTGAAGAGTGGCAGAAAGCTAAGGCTGACCAATATATCGAAACACTTACTATAGGATGTGGTACTGAATGCAGATCGAAGTTACATGCTTACACAAGGCCAGGGGTCAAGCTGAACTAACATATTATTATCTTGGCAATCACGTGATTCTTTTTTAAATTAAATTTGACAATGGTTCAAACAACTCAAATCGCAACTTACTTGTGCTGTTCTAAAAGTGAAGCAAAATTAATGTTGGTAACAGTATTGACTCCAACTAACACAAAGTATCCTCTGATAAGGCCAGCAGCATCTATTTCTCTCATGACATCACCCATAGTCTGGCAAGTATCTGACATCTTTACTTGGACATCCATAGTGAGGCTCCATATTGCCTTATCTTTGGTACATTGCCTGCACACAATTAAGTGTACATGTTAGTTAAGTACAAATATTCATTAAATGGAAAACAAATCTGTTAAGATATCTTTGTTATTAAATGACGCACTATCTTTCAACGTTCACTCTTATTATACATACCGAACATAGTCTTTCATCTTCTGTCCATCTTGACAGCAAAATAAGATAGTTTCACCCACCCCACCTTGAGCTAAAGCCTCCAGTATGTAGTTAATGAGAGACACTCCAGCTACAGGCAGTAAACCCTAACAATGAGAATATTATTATATTTGAAATTTTGAAGAATATTATGAGATAGATTAACAAAAATTTTAACGAACTAACCATAGGTTTGTTATTAATAATGGGATTAAAGTGGCTGTTGAACGTGTCCATGATGACCACTGCCTGTACCACATTTTCTTTATCTATTTCCATTTTATAAATACTAAAATTTCTAAAATATTTTATGAATGAATATCTGCGAAGTTTTCAACTTTCAACACTTCATCACTTGATATAACATTTTATTGTACGACCAGAGACGACAGACCTTGACGTTTAAAGTTTGAGGTTATATTTTTCTCACTGGCAACTATGCATCTTTTCAAATAATTTTAACCACGATCTTAACCCAATCAAAATTTGCTGGGTCCTGTTTGGAAATAGAACTCATAAACTCTGGCTATGAGGTCAGGATCACTTACCACAAAACCTGGCAAGGTCGTCAGTACATACTAAAAGCGTCTAAATCATAGTATAAAAATATTTATAATGTTTTTTTATGTACCTAAATCAGGTCAGTGTTGATGTTCTAGTTGCCTAGGTTTTATTGATCGTGTTTCCAATGTGATTGAGTGCATATCACAGTAGTGTGTTAGGAACTCCAATTTTTTGGCAAAGAAAATATGGACTACGATTTGGCGCGATTAGATTATGCCATATGTGGCATCACATATCCGGATACATTAAAAATTTTGCCCCCGTCTGGGCAGAAAAGTGATCAAAAGGTAAGTTAACTACTTAAACCTATGTAACACTGACTAAGTTTTAAGGTATAAAGTAAAACACAATGATATCTAATAAACTGTGGCTAGATATTTCTTGTGTCAGTCAGCATCTCCGTAACTAGCTACCCTGTGAACACAATTATGTCAGACTACGTAAGATACAGGTCATGTATGACTCATAATTGCCCACTTCCTGACTTAAGATTGATTAGAATCTTTACGTAAACATGACATCTATGAAATCATTTTGACTTAGCTAGCGTGCGAATGACTTAACTCTGATGTCATAGAGAAGTCAAGTTGCTACCGGCCGCTTACAAAAAAATTACGTCCAGCTGACTTACATACTTGTCATCTAGCTGACGTCAAGATGACATAAATTTGAGGTTATTTCAGTGATGTAAAGTTGTGTCCAAATACGCTTACAAAACTGTGACGTCTTTCCCTCCACGGAAATCTTTAGTAAAAGGCGAAAGATTTATACGTTATGAAGGGAAACCAGAGTTTACATGAAGTCATAAAAGCACCGTAATAAACCTGTATGAGTAAAGAAACTGAATCGCTACTCAAAAAAATGGTAGCACGCCATCTATCGAGGTAAGAGGTAGTTGTCATAACCCCTCTTACGAGTAGGTATTCGGTTTGAATATAAACGCATTCAACAGTAATTATAATTAAAGTTTTATTAGCAAACACTCAAACACAAAATTCTATTTCTAATTCGTTTAAGAAAAAGACATTGGTGCTAATTCTGTTGTTGGAAAACTCTCTAAACTAAAATCTCAAAAACGTTTCCTATTCTGAAAACGTAGTATTTGACAGGACGTGACGTAGTATTTTTAGTGATTTTTAGTAGAATTAGCACCAATGATCTCCAAAAAAATTAATTATTACGGAGTTACAATATCTTCTTCTTTGATAATATTTTAATAATAATATAAATTTGTTAAATTATTTAATTAAAGACAATGTTTCACTAGTTATTAAAGGTTTTGGATTTGATTCATAGTCCTAGGCTGTAAAAATCTCCATTCCATTCTAATAAAAAATAATAAATCAAAAAGTTTTTCACGTTTCCGAAATAAAAGAGTCCAAAAAATAAGTAACCAACGTCACTTACGTTTACGGAATATTTAATTTACCATCCTGACGTCATATAATCGTTATGTCATATGGAGGTCATGTGTTCACTGGGTACTAATTGTGCTTACCACACAAACATCTGACTTTAAGATAAGGAAATGCCAAAACATCTATTGCGCAGACTTAGGATACCTTAATGAGATACTTGATAAACATATAAAAAAATTATTGATATCACTACCTAATTGTTACTGGCCAACATTTTTTAGTTTGCAGTTGGTGATAAAAATGGGGTTTTACAATGCCTAAGTATTAAAGAAGAAGAACCGGTAGTGCAGTTCAAAACATTACCTGGAAAACCCATAACCGCTGTACAACTTGCGTCTGGAGTTGGTAAATGCTTAAGAGCTAACATGTATTTATTAACATTGACGTATAAATATGTTGAAATAGTTTCTTCGATAATTGCAGGTACACAAGCTGACAAAATTTTCACAGCTTCCGGCAATGAAGTCAAAGGCTATACAAGGAAAGGAAAAGTGTTTTTGAGCATTGAAACAGCGCTTTCCGAGACTATCACGTCCATGTAATTATTATTATTATTTTTTTTTCGTGTGGATACCCTCTCGGGCCGTCAACCCACCGGTTTTTGCGGCGGTGTGGTGTGTCGGAATAGGACCGACTAAAACCACACGGTGTGCCACTCTGTGCCTGTAATAGGAGAGATCCGGGAACTGCTATTATTAAGACATCCGGACCCCTCCTAGCGCCTGCCCGCAGTTGTGCGGGCACCACTTTCGGGTACATTCTCTATTTAGGTGACGTCCGGTCGTCCGACGTCGGACGCGAACGTCTGCAACTCAGGAGTCACAAACGCGTTGCCGGCCTTTTAGGAAGGAGTACGCTCTTTTCTTGAAGGTCGTATCGGTCCGGAAATACCGCAGATGATCCCGTTCCACAGATTGGTTATGCGGGGCAAACATTGTCTCGAAAAGCGCACAGTAGTGGAGCGCCAACTATCCAGGTAACAAGGATGAAAATTTTGCCGTGTGGAACGATGGTGGAAATTTGCGGCTGGTATTAGTCCGAACCATTCCTTGGAGCAGTCTCCATGATATATGCGATGGAGAATGCAAAGTGAAGCTATATCGAGCTAACCAAGCCAACGAATCGAGCCGGTCGCAAATCTTTTGGCTATCGACGATTCGATTCGTCCTTCGTTGGATGCGGTCCAGAGGGAGAAGCTGGTACTGAGCTGCCCCTGCATAGAGATGAGAACAGTATTCCATATGTAGCCGGACTTGCGCCTTATAGAGCTGAAGGCGGTGGACCGGAGTGAAATACTGCCTCGATCTGTTCAGCACAACGAGTTTCTTCGAGGCCAATTGGACCTTACCCTCTATGTGACCCCGAAACTGGACTTCGCTCGATATGTCGATGCCTAGGATTCTGATGCTGGCTGTGTCAGTTAGGGAGGTGCTCTCAAACTGAGGTGATACGACAAATGGCATCTTTTTTGCAGTGAACGCGTAAACCTGTGTCTTTTTTGGGTAAAATGGTCTAGGTTTAGTCGGCCCCAATATGAAACCTCGGCTAAGGAAGTTTCAATTTCAGACACAAGTTTGTTACGACTCTCGATGACGTTTTCCCGAGAAATGTTGGGGCGGCCGGTATAAAGGGCATCTCCTGTGCTATCATCTGCATAGCAATGGATGCTACTAGTTTGCAACATGTCATTGATATGCAGAAGAAACAGTGTGGGTGATAGCACACAGCCTTGTGGGACACCAGCATTTACAAATTTCAAGTCGGAGCATGCACCGTCGACAACGACCTTAATGCTTCTGTCCGCAAGGAAGCTGTTGACCCAATTACACAATTTCTCGGGAAGCCCAAAGGAAGGGAGCTTCGAGAGAAGCACCTTATGCCAGACCCGATCACACAAGCCTCTCCTTTGGTCTCAATTGCCTGTGCCCACCAGTGTGTTAGAAAGACGAGAAGATCACCATCTGAGCCACCCCGGCGAAATCCATTTTGTCGGTCATTGAGTAACTGGTGATCATCTAAGTACCGGAGGAGCTGGCCGTTGATTATGGATTCCATAATCTTAGAGATCGGCTTTCTCTTTGGCATCATAGGGCAGCAAATTATCTCCCATATGCAGGGGTGGAAAGGATTGGCTACAGAAATTCCCCTGGACAGTCTTGGCAAGAGACCAGAATGCACAAGTTCCATAAGGAAGTCTCACTAGTCTCTCACCGATCCGGCTGATGTGCTCCGATTTCGCCCTAGCAATGGCTCTTTTAAGGGACCTGGAGGCAATAGCCATTTGGACGTGGTCCATCAGTCGGTCAGTTTCGGTGTCACCGCTATGGGACCTGTAAAGGCATGCGTAGACGCGGGGATGGTCGTCGCTGTCTACACGGAGCCACAAGATGGAAAAGTTCCGTCCTTCAAGATTGCTGAGGCGGCGCGAACTGATATCACCTCTAACGTACACGCACACTCCAGCTCTAGCAACAAAGGAGTGTTCCAGATGATAGCCAGAGTAGGAGAGGTAGGATGTGTCCGATGGAGATGATATCTGCGTCTCGGTTAGAAAGAGCAAGGCCGGCTTAACTGTCTCGAGGTGGTGGTGGACAGCGTTGAGGTTGAAGTGAAGGCCCCTTATGTAGCAGAAATTCACGTCAAGCGTGGCGAGGGGTGGCCTGATGTGCCTGCTCCCGCCGCGGGCCGCCGCGGGCGACGAGTTGCGCCCCCCTCTCGAATACGCGGGGCAGCCCAGACATCCACGCCCACACAGAGGGGGATTCTCCAACGCTAACGCAGCTGGTACCCCCTTGGGTAGATTGTTTTTTAACGGCGCTATCATGGGGGGTTAGGCTCCGGAAAGCTCACTCACTCGGGGAAATGCACCAGAGAAATTGCTTTACGACCGGTTTTCTGTGAGGCCGTGGTATCGCACCGGTCGAGCCGGCCAACTTTTGCCGAAGCATGACTCTCCCACGTAACTGACTGCAGTGAGGACCGGACGCTGCGACGCCCAAGCCGGGCAAATTGCCAGCGTGTGCTGAGCCGAGTCCTCACTGCAATCGCAGTGGTGACAGGCGGGACTCAATTCTATCCGAGCGACCGAGTGTAGGTACTGCCCAAAGCATCTGTGCCCGGAAAGGACCTGCGTCAATCGGAAGGAAAGGGTCCCGTGCTGCCCTGCCCATTCGACGATAACCGGCTGGAGCGCCACCACGGCGGGAAAATCAGCACGTGGAGCCCCGAGCCCGGACGACCAATGAGCTACCGTGGCTCGACGAGCGGCCTCGCGCCACTCGCGTACTTCTTCGGGCGGGGGCCGTCTGCCGCTAACCGACTATTGCCGACCTTGTGAATTCACCGTACAACTATGGTTGAAGTTTACGATTATGATAAATCATGTTTTGTCATAATCGTTAGTGTCGAGATGACTATTCGAGATCGCGAATCGTAAAACGACAGTTTTAATCATAAAATGTAGTTTGTTTTGTATAAGTAGATGATTTAGTTGACATTGTACCAGTACCCACACCAGTACGTTTGAATTCTTATCATTTTATTGTAATACCTAAATATTTTTTCGTTTTTACTATTTAGTGTACATTTTCGTATTTATACGGGCATCTAAAGTTGTATGCAAAAATTTTTTTTTTTCTTCTCAGGTGCATCCTAGGGAGCGACCTGATACTATGTAGCGGACGTAACGTGACTTACTACAGGGATTTGCGTGAATATCACTCATATATTTGCGAAGACAGAGTACTCGACATTGCAGCCTTTGCGGTACCTAATGTTAGAATTATTTTCTTTATAAACATAGTAAGTAATTATTTTAAATTTTTAATATATAATTTTCTGTTATATGCACAGAGCCACCGAATTAGACTGTTAGTGCTTATTGCTAATAAGGGAGCGATAATCTTAGAAAATGGAAAACTCATCTCTCGTACACCTATATCCTCGGGTCCCTCTCGTCTGATTGTTCCATTATCTACCCATGTGACAGATATTCAGGCCTTCTTCGGCTCCAGTGATGGATCTCTAGGGCTTATTGGTTACCAAGAGTAAGTATATTTAAAGAACAAAATAATTTAATACTAAGTTCCTGTAAGTGGCCCAATATAGGTCTCAGATTGCTATTATTTATTCTAGCTAATCTAAATGCTTTTATTTGGAGTGGATTTACGTCACGTTTGTGTTGTTTGGTAGGGTAGTAGTTTTATGGTTTACTAACTAAAGTTTCATTTTACTTTATGACAGGTTAAAACTATCAAGTAAGTGTTTAGTGGATGGTAGAGGTTTAGGGTCGGTGGTATGTCTCGGCTGGTATTACAATAACGGGAGTGTACATCTTGCTGTTGGTCGTCATGATGGCTCGATTCAATTGTACCTCATCGACATGGATAATCTCGGCGAAAAACCACGGCTTAAGTATACTTATGTAGGTGTTTCTTTTTATTACTATTTTATTCTAACATTAATCACTAAGGCTACAAATGGGTAATTATTAGTTTTCCGGTGAACCTGTAACTTCTGTAGTTGGCGGATGCATAGGCACAGAAGAACCAGAGCTACTAGTAGCAACCTTTTCAGGCAGGATATTTGCATTAAGACCGAGTCATTTAGTTTCTGGTGTGAAAATGTCAAATGATATGCTAGCAGCAAGACGGGCAAAGCTCGAGTAAGTAACACACAAGATTGGATAGCATTTTTGATTTTTACAAATATTGCAGGAACTAAGTCAAATAGTACTATTAATTACCTATTCACTTTAGAAATGAAGTGGCGCGATTAGAAAAGCAGACTTCAAATGAGCGTGAAAGATATCAACGAAGTACACATTCATTACAATCTGGTTTATCTACACCACCGTTAATAGATGTTCAACATGAGGTAAGCTGCATGAGACATAATTATATATATACACATAAAGTGGTCTCCCATGGTCCGTGACATTACGAATAGTAGAGGACCTAAAGAGGGCTTAAACACCAAGACCTTTCCTATGGTCCGTGTTTAGGCACTTGTTGGTCTTGTTTTAATTTTTTTCATCACAGTCCACTTACTAAATTTTTCACATTAAAACAAGGCAACTAATCGCATTAGGTTTTGCAGACGATCGAACGGACGGACCCTTTGATGAACGCCTCTCTTCCACCAGTGTTTCAGCGCGGGCTAGTTGACATCCCTCCTTAATACTCCTTAATAACATCAACAGTCGGGGCCACGTCCGTTTTGTCAATTGTTGGTATCTACCTACATGCCTATCGTATGAACTTTACAGCTGTTAGGAGCAACAAATGACGGCTGGCAAGAAGTACGAATTACATCGGCGGTGCCGTTAGACATGCTTTTTATTTATTGTAACAAGAAATTAGAGTTGGAAACAGACACTGCCGCAGTTTTAAGTATTTGTTCATCTAAGGTAAAATTAAATATAATTCAATATATTTTTAACAGTAATATACGATTATACTTACTATTGCAACATTTATTCTTATTAAGGAAGCAACTTCAGATCTACTTGCATCGGTCAGGTGCCAAGCCGGAACACGAAGAGTTTGGGTGAAAATACGATACGTTGCAGATGGCTCTGTCGAAACAAAACTGGGGGGAATACGTGTACTGATTTATGTTTTACCCGCTGGAGCACCCAGAGTTGCACGTCTTATTACTCTAAAGCTACCCGCACTGCCCTACTATTCCCAACATGAACAACAGGAATGGAACATGGAATCACAAGAGAGGTACGTAAGCGTTATTAAACGATGTTGGCTTGGACTATGTTCGTAAATGGTTATTAATTTGGCAGAGTTTGGTGTCAACTTCACGTATCTGGAAGCTTCTCTGTAGCTGAGATAACTTCATGGCTGACAGAGGCACTCCCAGGTGAACTGCCTCGACCTGCTGCAAACGTATCTTTCGTTCGTTCCCACGCTCTTCTAAAAACGATTCTCATTTGCCAATATCAGTGAGTACTGTTTTATATATATTGAAACTTGGTCTTTTAGCGGTACATACTTCAAAGTTGAAATTACTAAAACAATTCTCGGTAGCTATTATTGGAATAATAACTTGACACATCTCACTACGGCAGTCTGATCCCAAGTAGGTTGAGCCTGTATAGCTAACAGACTACTGATAAACATACTTATATGTTTCTAAATAATTCATAGTAAAAATTTACACCCAAACACAAAACAAATAATCGCCCTCATCACATAACTACTTGACTAGGGTGAAAATGGAACCGATGACATCTGAGGGTCAATTGGCACTAACTTCAAACAGCTCTTCGTTATCACGGCAGTAAAACCTGTTATAGAGGATTAGCTCGAGAGATATCACGGAACCCTCTCATACCGGCTGACACAGATGATCACCGGGAAACGATGCTTCGGAGATCACCTGTATCTGATCCGAAAGAAGCCAACGCCTGAGTGCCACCACTACGATGGGTGGACCGTGGACACGACGCTCCACGCGCTGGCAGAATACCCGGCGTGGGTGGAGCAAAAGCGTGGCCTCGTGGCCGCCGTCGGAGTGGGAATTCTCTTGCTCGTTAACATAATTGTCGCCATGGTACGGAGCGAGAGTGCGTGGAACTCCGCCGTCCGATAGGGGATAGCGGAGCGGGACCGGGAGAGGTTTAGAACTCTCTCTGCCCCCTCGGCCCTAGAACGGGCCAGGTACCGCAGACGACTCGCCGAAGTCACCGAACGACCTCTGTCCTCCATAAGCGCTGGCTTGAGGCTGACAGGTAAGGCCATCTGTTACACTAGCAGAAGCAGGCTGGGGTGGATGGCGGCGCAATGCGCTACCGAGTGCGCACGTCTTGTGGGGGCAGGAAGGGAACATATGGTTTCCCACACAGGAGAGGGTCATCTATAAGCCATACATGGGCCGAGGTACTTTGGGGTACCGAGGCTTTCCTTTCTAGGGTATACCTGGTTCCCCGGTTACTGGTACCTGGAGACGACGTGAGGTTTTTGGTCGGTTCGAGTCCAACATAATCACCCACTGGTGGGTGGTGTCCGAGGGGAGTTCCGCACAGTGCACACGCTATGTTAGTTCGACTTTTTATTAAAAAGATTTATTTTAGAATTTTTTGTATAAGAGACGTTTGTAATAAGTAGGTACATTGTATACGATTCCAGATTAGTATAATGTAGCAAGCTACATACGATATTTAAAACAATAGGTACTGTAAGGTTTATATTACCAAACTGTAGGTACTGTGTGTATTTTACGAGTAAAATTACCCGAAACATAGGAACTTTTTAGTTTATTAAGAAAATCAATTTATTAAGGTCATTTGTTTTTGTTTTTTATTTAATAGTTACTACATACTAGGTGTTTTATTTCATATTCTTTTTAATAGATTTTCTAATGAAAATTGAGTATAGAGAAATTATTGGATTTTAATAATTAGAAATTGTAATGGTGAAAATGAAAGACGAAACAATTTTATTCTTACAAAAATCCAAAAAAATGATTGTTGGCAATGAAAGCGTTTTATATAAATTTAGAATCCGAACATACTTTCGCCGGTAGAACACAAAATAAATATTATTAAATTTATTGAAAAAAAATAAAAATTCGTTTTCACCACATCTCGAAATTAAAGGAAATTTCAAGAACCTCTCAAAGTAAAAAAGTTATTAAAAAAAATACTCAGTATTTGAGATATTAAACAACAGAAACAGTAAAATTTCAAACAAATTAAATAGTTTTATTTATTGACTGTGCTTATAGGGCATAAATTTGGGTAAAGTAAATGCCAAAGACCACAGATTGATTGAAAATTACAATTACTGGCAAGTAATTGAATTTTTACACTAGATTATAGATTTTCTTTAATTCTTATTAAAGATTTGTATTTACGACGGTAAATGCCTTTTTATTTAAAAACACATAAATTAAACCCTACTTATAGTAGTGCTCAATGGAATGTAGTAATCATATTTATTTTTTAGGGAATAGTTAAAGATCAAAGAATTCTTAAAGTGCTAATCATTGTAGGTATAGTTTACCCTATTTAACATGGTTATAACATCTGTTGTTATAAATTTCAGGCGAGGATCAGCAGTACTTAAATCTGACAACGTGTCTACCATTGCTACACTTCGAAATATAGTATCAAACTGTTCAGTAGAGAAAAGTATTCGAGTGGATTTGTCTTGTGGTACTCAACATCCTTATTCCTTAATACAACTAATTGACGTTCCTAATAGAATGATTTCATTCTGAACATGTTTTACAGATATTCCGAAAAATTGTTGTATGACATCATTTAAGTATTTAGAGGACAAATTTAAATTGGAGTATCAGAAACACAAAGATATTATTTTGAAAAATGCAATTAGGTATGTACAACTGGACCTTACCTATATATCATTCAAGAATTTATAATATACAGTATTATTTTGGAGTTAACTTGTATTAATCATATCAGCCAAAAGGCTTACATAGGGCTTGACTTCGAGCCACGGAAATTCGATATATTTCAAACTTCCAAATTTTTTAGCAAGCTGGACTTGGACAGTTCTATGAGTGAGGAAGGACCAATACTATGTCAAGATTATTCTCGGGTTTGGGATTCTAGGGAAACTATAAACGGAACGCAATTTGGCGAGCTTGTAGGTAAGATACTCACATCACATCATCATCATCATCAACAGCCTTTATTAGTCCACTGCTGGACATAGGCCTCTCCTTAGAAAGGAGTAAGATACTGAAATAGCAAATTTTATGCTAACGTACAGAGAACTTCAATCACATTTGATCGAAGACAGAGAAAAGCTCTTTTTGCGAAAAAAGTCTTTGGTATTCATCATTATTTAAGGTAGAATGTCTTTTCTTTATAGTTGGTGGTACAAATATGACAAATCATGACCAGGACCTCGACAAGAGGAAACTGGTTAAGACCCAGTGAACATATGGCCTCCATATGACGACATAGATAGCTCATAGACAGATCATATAACTTTTACATAGATATGACATAAAAATGACTTTTATATGACGTAATTGAAACGAATATTACGTAAACATTATTGCCTTATCACTATCATATATGTGACGTTAGGTACTTACTTTTGACTGCCTTTCTAGGGTATACCTGGTTCCCCGGCTATTAGTACCCGAGACGGCGTGCGGTTTTAGTCGGTTCGAGTCCGACATGCCACCGTCAGGTGGTATCCGAGGGGATTTCCGCACGAAAAACAAAAAAAAAAGGTACTTACTTTTTCGACCCTTTTAAGCTATGCAATAGCTTCTATCGCTGGCCTTGAGCGTGGAGACCGAATCCAGAAATTCCGTAACGAAAATAACCTAACACCTCCCACTCCAACCGGCACAGCGGTGATACTTTTTAGTTTTGCCATCTATCGATGAATAGCAAAACTTTTTTTAAGGTAGGGTGTTCCTTTGACATGACAAAGGGGGGAGACCAATTTATTTTTATTAATGTAATAACATCCACATACAATACCCCTCCCCCCACCAAAAATTTTATAATTGCATTGAGGTCCTTTCAAAATACCTCCTCTTCTCTCCCCTCCACTTTTTTCATTTATCCCCCTTTGATTTTCTCGGTACCTGGAGCACTTGGACTCCCATCTTTGAGTTTGTCTGAACCGGGAAAAGGAGACGAACAATCTGGCCCCTCTGAACAATCTGTGTGGAATTTGAAAACACTGCCTTAGTGGGTTCGATTCCGGAGCCGGGCAAAATTCTATAGGGTTTTCCTAAGATAATTATTTAATACTAGCTGGTACCCGCGACTTCGTTCGCGTGGAATTTGAAAACGCAGCCTTCAGTTTCAGAAATCTTTATTCTCATAAGAATTGTACATTCACTTACATGAGAATTTATACATTAATAACCATTAATAATTAAATATTAAATATTCCGATGAGCATGCATGGGTAAAAAAATAATATTATGTGACAATGAGGGTCTAAATGTACGTACGCGTATGTGAAGTAACAAAAAAATTTAAATAATTACCTTTTACCAATTTTAACAACAAAATCCTCAAACAGTATCAAAGCTAACAAAATTCATCACAAACAATATGTGGTTAACAACATTACATTTAAAAAATTAAATAAAGGAGGTAAACATACATAGGTAGGTCATCAACCCAAACAGAAACAAAATTATTTTAATCCTACCTACATTCAAACATTAGACCAAATGCTATGCACACATTACAAAGATAGTAAAACACTAGATGCGATACATTATTGACTAACAAGTTCAGCTAAGCGTTGCATCTTTAATAAGTGATTAATTTAATTGTTAATTTATGTATTTCTTAATTTGACAATGGGTTACTTTTAAATGGATATAGTTAGTTTTTTTTTGTTTATTTATTTTCGTTTAGCAAGTGGGCTTTTAATATTTTTTTGAATGTATTTAAATGTCTTTTATCTATAATAGAACTTGGTAAATTGTTAAATAGTTGAGCACTCGCATAGGTTATATTTTGTTTGCCATAGTTAGTTCTAGGAGGGCGTAGTACTAAATTATTAGTACGCCGTAGTCGCCTTAACCGATTATCCTCACTTCTGAATTGGAATGAGATATTAGTGTGTATTTTTTTTGTTGGTATTTTACGTATTAAGATGTATTTTATTTGTATGTGTTATCAATATTCATTATTTTGGTTTCTTTGTAAAGTTTTGCAGAAGGTGTAAAGTAATTATAGTTAAATAATCTTTTAATCAATCTGTTCTGTGATATTTGTAGCGAACGAAGGTTTGTCTTAGCCGCTAAGCCCCAAATTTCGATAAGGTAATCTATGTGTGGTTTAACTAGCGAATTGTAAATAGTATAACGAACGTTACGTGGCAAGCATCGAACTATACCTCGCAGGGCACCCGTCAAAGATGTCAATTTTGATTTAACTTTTTCGATATGCGGTTTCCATGTTAAATGTTTGTCCAATATTAGTCCTAAATATTTTTCTTGCTCCGATTTACTAATAGATACATTATTAATCTTAAGTGTAACAACTTCGTTATGGATTTTATTTTTGGCTGCAAATATTACATAATGAGTTTTATCGGTGTTGATAGTCAAGAGATTTGAGTAGAACCAGTCATTAATAAGATCAAGATCATTTTGAGCATCCTGTGTAATTGAATCTATGTTGTCCCCAAAATTGAACAGGCTAGTATCATCAGCATAGAGTGATAGATCTCCCTTGAGGTTAAGTTTACTTATATCGTTTATATATATCAAAAACAAAAGGGGCCCCAAAATAGACCCCTGGGGAACTCCGTAGGTTATAGAATGTAGGGCGCTTTGGTGATCTCCGATTTTAACAACTTGAGAGCGATCCGCGAGATAAGATTCAAAAATTTTATAAGCCCTTCCAGAAAGCCCAATAGCATTAAGCTTGTCCAAAAGAATTTGATGACTGACCGTGTCGAAGGCTTTTTTGAGATCGATGAAAATGCCTAGCCCAACTTTTTTTTCATCTATACTATTTTTTAATTTGGTTGTTAAATCCACTGTTGCAGATAGAGTATTTGATTTCGGCCTGAATCCATATTGTTTAGGGTATAAAAAAATTATTGAGTTTAAATAGGCTTCCAATCGATTGTAGATAACCTTCTCAAATACTTTCGAAATCACGGGAAGAACAGATACCGGCCGATAATTATTGGGATCTGCCCTCGACCCTGCCTTATAAATTGGTGTTACTTTGGCAATCTTTAAGCTATCTGGAAAATGACCTAACTCAAAGCAGTTGTTAATACATATGGTCAATTTTGAGGCAATTTTGTCCTTAAGGTATTTTATAGATTTTGTATTTATATTGTCAATGCCTGAACTAGTATTATCATCTAATTTATCAATTATTTTTAAGATTTCATTACCTGTAGTTGGACTTAAAGAGTCTAGAGAATTTTCTGCAGGTCTGTTATCGATTCCTGTCGCAGTGCAGATATCAGCACCAGCATAAGTGGCGTGTAATGATTCAGCTAATACTGCACCTATCGTTGCAAAGAAGTCATTAAAATATTCACAAATTTCGTTTCCGTCTGACAATTCCATAGTTCCTTTTGTGAGCTTAGCTGGTTTAGAGTCGTCTCTGTGTCTGTTATGTGCTAAAGTATCAATCAGGCGCCACATCTTCTTTGGTTCATTGCTGCAGTTTGAGAATTTTTTACGGTAATATTCAGCCTTCATTTTCTGAATTTCTTCAGAGACCAAATTTCTTTTAGACTTAAATTCATTCTTGATGTTTTCACTGTCTGGTTTTTTTTTGTGTTGCTGGTATAGAATATTTCTATCGTTAATTTTATCCAAAATTCTTGCATTAATCCAATCTTGCCGTGGACGATTCAGAATTTTTGTTTTTTTTATTTTAAATTTTTTGTATGCTTTTAATAATTTCACTTCAAAATCAGCGTAATTTATATTATCTTCATCGAGTTTTATATCTTCCACCAATGAATAAAAATTTTCATAATCTATTGCTTCGTATTGGATTTTTTGTTTAGGTGGTGTTTGGTACTTATTTATTTCAAGAAAAATCTGCTTGTGATCAGACATAGGTGACTCGATAGTTGCCAAATAGAATTGGTTCTCGGCTATGTTAGTAACAACGTGATCAATCACAGATTTTTTGGTCTCTGAGTGTCGGGTGCAGTGTTTAGGACTTATTTTATTTAATATTCTGTAGCCAGATTCAATAATGATGTCCTTATAGTTTTTAGTGGAGTTGCTAACTTACTTTTAGTTTTTGTTTAGTAAATCAAAATTAAAATCACCCATAATGACAGCCCTATGGCGTCGGTGTAACTGATCCGAAAACTTTTCAAAAAAAGGTTTATCACTCGTCCGACCGGGTTTATACACCGCTCCAATATCAATCGAAAATTTGTCAAGATGTATCCAAAGAAATTAATTATCACCTTGAGAAACGCCTTCAATATAAAAGTGCTTGAGCCTATTAAGGGCAAATATAGAAACGCCGCCACCAACATTACCCTTTCTATGATTATAATAATGCGTGTAATTCGGTATCTGGAATCGTTTAGCTTCGTCATCAGATTTCAACCATGTTTCTGTTAGTATTATAATATGTATAACGGATTTAACTGATTTTATAATACAGCATAATTCATCGAACTTTCCATCTTTCACAATACTTCGAGCATTAACATAAAAGAACTTCAAGGAATTTCTGCTGCTGCCTAAGTTTTCGTAGTTATTTAGAGCTTCGTAAATAATATTAGTGTGCTGTCGACGTTTTAGACTGGCATTAGTTAGTTTTTTGAATCAGTATTTACAATCCTCGGCAAACCCTTGACGTATTTTATTACTAAATTCCGTTCGCCATTTGATGTTCTTTGGATAAGTTCACTTTTCAGGCTCTTATATCGTTGTTGTTGGTATGGAGTTTGATCAGGGAACATTTTTATTAAGGAATTCTGCAGTTCAGTTCTATTACGAAGAATCTTTTTGGCATCTTCTTCTGATTCAAAGCTGACTTTAGTTATACGGTTAACTCCTGGCTTGTATCGTCCAAGACGTGACACCGTTTTTAGCTTAGGGTTATCTCCCATAATAGGTTTCACAGTTTTAATAACTTCAGCCCTATCCAATTGGAAGCGTTCCTTAGTATTACTCGACTTGGCTTCTGGTATACCCGCAATCAATACATTCATTTTCCTAATGTTTTGCTCATTTATTTCCATCAATATATCATCGTACCTAAATTTATCATTAGATGTTGACTGTATAGCAGACTTACCAATTTCATTCATGTTGGATTCTAATGACGCAATCTTTCCGTCAGCCATTTGCATAGAGTTGCTAAGATTTTTGATGTTAGACTTGATTTCTTTTTGCTCAGAAGATATATTCTCTACCTTCAGCTCATTTACGTTCATTATAATTTTGATGTCTTGCATT